GGACCAGGCTCTCACATCACTAAGCGCGAAGCGCCGTGAGATATTTGGCGAGTCGCATGAAGGGTGAGTTGCATCCTGCTAAGGGTGTTCGGCATCTTGTGCTTACTTCCTTGCGCACGGATGATAGCTACGTATGACTTAATTTATTTTCTGGTGCTTTCACTTCCAGAGACAGTGGTAAGCGCTGTGTAACTGCCTCGAGGATGCTTGAACCATTTTAACACAACGTGGTGCGATCATCCCCCGTTGCGCGGAGTGAGGGTTCTCGACCCCACACAACATGATCTACTCGACCACCATTATGGTTACCGCCAAAAAAAAAACGAGGTAAAAAAAAAAACGGTAACCTGGTTGCCGAGTTCACGAAGTGAATTGGCTTGTTTTACGACGTCGTTGCCAATCGACGAAAACCCAATCCCGATGGCAAACACCGAGGGGGGGGAATAGGGATATTGAGCTTGGTTTTAGTGGGGGGGAGGGGGGGGGCTAGGGATAGGGATACGAATCCCCCCTCTCCATCGCATAGATTATTATTAAGGCTGTCCAGGAAGGAATATACGCATTCGTGTAAGCCCTGCCATGTGTGGTGTGCCGGTTGGGGTCTTTGGCCCCAGGGGGGCCGAGGCATGCTTGTATGTTTGTGCTGGCGATCTTGCCCGACGAGCACAGCAGCAGTGCAGTGGAAGGCCGTACGGTTATCACAAAGCCTACGAGAGTATTGAAGTGCTTCTTGCATATATACGTGCAGGCAAATATTTTTCCACGCTAGCTGCTGCCTCTCTCCCCGTGAACCCGTCTCGCTGTCTCTGCCAACGGCGATGTTTTCTCGTGCCTTTTATTTTCTTTTTGTGTGTTGCTTCTGCGTCTTTTTTGTGTCGTTTCCCTGGAGCGGCTTTTGAACACTGGCCAACAAGCTTCGTTCCTGGTGCCGGTGTCGTACAGGTCTCTCTGTGCGTGTTGTTGTTGTTGTTGTTGTTGTTGTTGCGTTAAAATTAGAAACGGTTCCGATCTCTCTGCCCAGTACCTTCATCTGTCCGTACTGACATGACCCTTTCGGCGCGGTCGATTTCCGTGGTCTCAGGCTAGCCTACCGTAAAGAAAGTATACTAAAGTACATTGTGCGTTTTTTTTTCCCCCTCATGCAGGTGTTGAATAACATCGCACAGATCGTTCTCGAGGAGACCGCCCCGGGCTCCACGGTGTGGCTCAAGTGGCGCAACGTCCTGTACGTGGTGGACATCTTGTGCTGCTGCTTCATCCTCGTGCCTATCATCTGGTCCATCAGGAACTTGAGAGATGTGGGTGCTTTCGGCGACAAAGTGCTGCTATTTAGTGCTCTGGCGAGAGACGACGTTAGCGTCGACAAACAGAGCAAGCACCTGCCCCATGACAGGGCCCCCCCGCCGCAACTGCGCCATTCCTGTGCGATGCCTTCCACCTCCCGCTCTCACTTCTCTCACCATTGTTTTTGGCTTTTTTTGTTTTGCAGGCGTCGCTGGCGGACAGCAAGGCCATCCGCCGCCTCAACGTGTTCACGGGTTTCTATAAGATGGTGAGAGGCGCATAGCTTGGCGGGAGGGGTGTGGTGTGACGGGGGCGTACTGGCGGCATGTTTTTTGTTTTGTCTGGCAGGAAGGCAAAGGCGTTGCTAAATAGTGAGCAGCAAAGCTACTTGGCGGTTGCATGTTGGCGTTGGCGGGGCTTGTTCCAATGAAACATGTTGAAGGGTCCCTCGGTGATATTTCGAGAGAACAGGATGCGGAAGAAGAAGGCGAAGAGTCTCGCTCTCTCTCTCTCCCCTTTCCCTGCTCTCTCTCTCTCTCTCTCTCTCTCTCTCTCTCTCTCTCTCTCTCTCTCTCTCTCTCTCTCTCTCTCTCTCTCTCTCTCTCTCTCTCTCCCTCTCTCTCTGTTTCTCTCTCTCTCTCTCTCTTTGTAGCTGTCGCCCGCTCTAGTGTGGTCTCATGCTGGGCTGCAAAGCTGCTGTGCCACGAGCGCGCAAGGGTCGTCGTTGACTGGATTTTTGAGAAGAATCACATCCAGGAAGTGGTTTCCTTTCTCTGCGTTTCTGTGATGCACGCGGCTGTGCGGAAAGTTCGAAATCACCCTGATACCCACACGCCCTATTGCCGTTCTCGCAAGAAAACCTGTGTGGCTGTCTTCCTGTGTGACCCCGACCGGTGCGTCCAAAACTCTCCGCAAGGTGCATCAATACATCAATGATATATCGACCTCCGGTGTATACGGGGCGACAACAAACAACCGGTATGTATATATATGTGACACATACCGGTACATATTTTTTCACTACCGGTATGTACTCGCGACCTTCTTTTGGGGGGGGGGCTCCACTTGACCGGTGCGTTTGCAGGTTTTGGGGTACATCTACTTCACGCGGATAATTCTGGTCTTGTTCTCCGCGATGCTGCCCTTCGAGGTGAGAACGGAGAGAGGTTGATCAGCAAGAAACATGGGATTCTACGCCTCAGTTGGGGATCATGGCACACCCCCACCCTCGAAGAGGGGCCCCAAGTCATTGCTAACCGGTTCAATGTGCGCAAAAAAATGGTTGAGAGTCATTCTCCGGGGCCAAAATCTGTGACATGCGGCGGTGTAACGGGAGATAACGACCATGAAGGTGCTTCGCGAACAAGAAGAAGCAAGAAGGTCGCGGCACTTTGGCCAACTGGCTGGCTGATTGGCTTCCGTCCTCGTTGAGACTGTTGGTTTTTCTCCAAGCTCGACCAATTGGCGTGCCTCTCCCTCTCCCTCTCTCGCGTTCGCCCACTCGCGCGAGCTGCTTCTGTTCCGTGCGTTGTTTCAGATTTTAGATCGAAATGCAACGACCCATACAGTACCAACAACAGCGTTTGATGTGCTAAATGTCCCTCGATGTTACTTGTTTTTGCGCAGTTGGTGTGGCTGGAGCAGCTTGGTTCGGAACTGGCGACGTTAATCTTTTTCGTCATCACCGGGTAAGCATCGGTACTATGGATACCCAACGGGGGGGGCAAGGGGATGGGAAAGGCGAAAATATGTTCATGGGAGGGGGGGAGTCCTGCTCTGCGGAGGAACGAATGGTCTTCGTTGATCAATCCAACTGCCACAGATGTTCGAGACAACAATCAACAGCCACGGTGGTAGGAGAAGGGATCCCTCAAAATTCAGCTACAGCAGTATAAGGTGTGATCTGCGGTTCCTAAAACTCTCAGGTACCCCCCCCCCTCTTCCATCTGCGTCACCCCCTTTCTTTGGCCTATCTCTCTCATCCTGCAACGCAAACCCTATACGGCAGATGGTGCTTCAGGCCACACCCAGACGCGCCATACCTGCCTGTCGGGAGAGATGACACGGAGGTATGCATTGAGTGTTGACATCACGTATGTACACCCGAAGGCGCGTGGCAACTTCTGACATGGATTGTTTGTCCGTCGATGACGTAAGAAACCACACGCCGTACAGAACATCTGTGTTCAAGGTGGTCCCCAGCAGGCAACAGCAGCAAGAGTACCAAGTGATTGTGTGACACCCTACGCACTACAGCAGGTAGAATACAAGCCTTTGTGGTAGTCTGGGTTAGAGGTAGGTTTAGTTTGTTTGAAACGGTCACAGTACGATCGGGGCATCGTACTGTCAACGTCCGTCACCCACGTCGAGGAACGTTTCTCCCTCCATCTCTCTCGCCCTCACTCTCTGTGTGTTCTGTTCAGCACGTTTCACGTTCTCGGTTTTTCCTTCTTGTCTGTTTTTTGTTGCTGCCCAAAGGGAGGGGTCGGCAGTGGCGAGGAAGACTCGGAATCAATGGAGCTGCTGGCGCTACGGAGAGCATAAGGCGGCCGATCGGGGGTGTGATTTTGTTTCCACAACAATTATGATGACGAGGGTTTGGGCTGTGAAGCTGTTTTTTTTTCAAGGACAGGTGACCGCCGCTGCGGTTGCTATCGCTGTGATGACGACTGCTTGTACTCTGTGCATGGAGGAACACCCGTAGACGTTCCGCTGTGTGTGTGTGTGTGTGTGTGTGTAAACACGAAAATGTTTATGGCATAAAACAATGTATACTTCGAGCTATTCCATTCGCCCAACAGGTAGGGTCACCCGTTGGGGGGGGGGGGTTGATTGGCAAATATTACGTTGATCCCAACTTCATGCCTAGATTTTGGATTCTAATCGGAGTAGAGGCAACCTTGTCAATTGAGGTACACTACAAGATTGTACGTGGAAGTACAAGTACAGTCGTAGGTCCTCTATAAGGCAGGTTGCTATAGGGCGGGTGCAAGTTGGCTGGCACAGATGGAATATTCAAGACGGTTATTACATTGAATATGGCGGGTGCCCTGTGTGGAGCGGATGAATCGGTCAGGCGCATACCCGCCCTACAGAGGGCCTGCGTCTGTATATTAAACCTGGAGCTTGTTCTCGATTTTGTTATATATATTTTACTCGGCGCTTTCTGTTCATGTACAAGGCGGGCGTCGGTAGCCGGGGGCAGGCGACGCTGTCAGCGGGAGTAAACGTTCTCTTCTTTTTTTTGTACAGAAGCGTCAAATGCCTTGCCGCAGAGCGGGACGTATTTTCATGAAGCCCGCAATTGGTCTCGAGTTTGTATGCAACGGTGGTGCGAGTGTGCAAGAAGGAGCTGCTGAGAGCAGTGTGCGCTGGCCGGCTCGGGCAGCAGCAGCAGCAGCAGCAGTCTACATGGCACGAAATGTTTTTTTCGTGTTGGTGCGTGTGCTAGAGAACGGGTGGCTTTCTTCTACGGCTTTGACGATCTTCATCCATCCGTCTCTTTGCGCGTACCTGTCATGCCAAACCGCCGCGGCTAGGCCCCACCCAGAGCTAGTCGCCACCGATAGGTTTTTTCCTCATTCGGTTGTGGGCCAAAGGTGTGTGTTGTGTGTGTGTGTGTGTTTTGTTTCTTGAGTGTATTTTCCCAGAAAATTGCAGGATCTGAAGGTCAGGGATCCTCCAAGTTTTGGGTTGAAAGTCCTTCCTCTCTGTTGAGCACGACGTGCCCCCAACTTGCTACAGCTTCCTTGCACGGAAGTCTCCGCTGGAAAAAAGCGTTCTATGCAAGGCGTCCTCTCTGCGCGAATTCCTGTTACGTGTGTGTATCTTTGATTGTGCTAACCGGCTGACAAATGAAAAGACGCCAGCTGTGTGTGTGTGTGTGTGTCGATGCGAGTTGCTTTTTGATACACCACCGGTGCTGCTGCTCCCTGCTGTTTGGCAAAAGAGTGACGTCACCCAGTCTTGCCGGGGGGGAGAAAACAAAAACGTTTACCAGTCCGCGGAGTCCCCACTCAGAGAGAGGCGCGGCGGGAGACGCCTGGACAGAACGCTTCACCCTCGGGCATTACACATGTTGTTCAGTTGTACCCCTGATTTTATTTTCGGGTGATGACGTGCTCCACCCGTGTGCGGCCAACAAGGGACACGCGACCTCTTGTCGGCACGCTTTCAGGGGGGGGGGGGGGTCCATACCACGTGTGTGGCCCCACGGCTGCTTGTGGCGATGGACTGCCTCTCCCTGGAATAACACGTTTTCGCCTCCCCTCGCAGTCTGACCTCTCCCCTAAGTCTGACAAACTCATGGGTCGCCGCCAATGGCACAGGCCTCTCTCCCCTCCACCCTCCTTCTGATTTTGCGCCTAGCAGCCTTTCGATAACCAACACCGGCAGCACAACAGCGGCAAGAAACACCTCGCTCGACGAAATGAAGCCGTTCATGTCAGCAACCAAAAATACGACGCGTTGTACATCGTCTGAAAGTAAAGTCGATCAGACGGAGCACGAGTGAGGGTATAGGGAGACCACAACGAACGACGGATCGTACAAAAGAAACTAAATGCAAAACCAATTTTGTAAATGCTCTGAAAAGATCAAACACGAAGAAGGCGCTATACATACAACTTTCGCGTCGTCGATCGTCTGTTGCGGTCCAATAAAAAAAAACGCTGAAAGCATCACGAGATTTTCGAGCTATACTGTAGCTTCAATCTTTTTTAACTCGGACCTCGTGCCAAGCCTCAGGCAATCCCCCCGCCCAGTTTCCCGTTCCCCGTCCCCCCTGAAGCGATGAAAATGCTATTAGAGAAACATCACCCGAAGAGTAAAAGGGGTAGTAAGCTAACACTTGAATTCGTTCGATGTGTTTACCTAGATAGAGATGAATATTTTTCAGAAGAAAACAGTAAGTAGCAAAACACGTGCCAGGCTTTTCTCGCCTCCCTCTCTCTCTCTGCTGAAAAAGAAAAGGCCAATGCAGAGAGATAACGAGAGCAAAACCCCTTATATTTGCCATGCATCTAATGAGACGAGACAGGAAGGGAAATCAGCGGCATGCGAAGGGGAACGCCTGCTTGCTTCCAGGGCATCATCGCACAGAACCTCGTTTCTCCAGCTGCTGCCGCTGGTGCCCTCTCTCGACAACTCCTGAAGGATTCGCACGAGGGGGAAAAATACGTTTTCCTTGCCGCCCCTCATCTCGTCCAAAAAGTCACTTCTCCCCCTGCCCTCCTTACCCTCGTGCCGTCCCTTCCTCTTGTTGTGTAGTGGCCGTCCGTGCTGTCTAATCACAATCGAACAACACCCAAAGATCGATTCAATCAAAACCAAAGATTGTTGGTTGCCGCTGGGTCCATCCGTGTTGTCTAATGGCAAAATCGAGCAACACCCAAAATTGATTCCATCCAAAATCAGCGGCTGTGGTGGCTGCTTGGTCCATCGATGTTTGCCACGAGCCGGCCGGTCCACCACCGGTGCGGGTTTTCATTGCCGCTGCCGTCGCTTCGGGTCCCCGGCGTGGCGGCGAGCCGACCGCCCCTCTCGAGCAGCATCTCCTCGAATATCCCCACTAGGCAGTGCGCGTCGAGGGCGGCATATCTCACCTGATCTGCCGTCAACGGCCTTGGTTTCGGATCGTTGGAACAAGAGAGAAAGAGGGACGAACGACAAAAAAAAAAAAGGATGGAAAACAAGACACGAGTAGGAAAGAAATCGGTGTTGTTATGAACGTCCGAGAGAGAGAGAGAGAGAGAGAGAGAGAGAGAGAGAGAGAAGCCCACCACCACGACAGAATGAGCGTGGGCAGAAACCTAGCAGGCGCCGCAAGAAGTACTACGCGCGCACGGCAGGTATGCAGGGAAGGCGTCTCGCCGTCGGTTTCATCCATCACATCCACAGATAGACGACCTATTCAATCGATAGATCGACTGCTGGGTGTATCTCTCAAGAACCAACTGCGGGTCATGCTCGTTACCTGATCCGCGACGTTGTCAAAAGTACAAAAACGATTTAAGAAACCTAGATAGCGACAACTATTCCACCGTTGCCAAGTCACTTCAATCCGAGTAATTCCCTGCTGCGATCATCCCTCCTATTGTGTCCTTCCCTCCAAGCTCACTCTCACCCCACCCCTAACTTCACACACACACACAGTTCATGGCAGATACAAGTGTTTGGTGTTTTCAACCGCACTAAGACTGACGTCTTTTCATTGGTCAGCCGGTTAGCGCGGTCGATGCTAATAATCATAAAAAACACGCACACACACACACACACACACAGCTTAGCCCCCCACATGCCGCCCCCTCACGGGGTCCCAGTTAAATGGCATTCAGACGTGTTTGTGTTTTCAACCGCACTGAGACTGACTGACGTCTTTTCATTGGTCAGCCGGTTAGCGCGGTCGATGCTAACAACAAACACACACACACACAAAGCTCATTTCATTCTGGCCCCATCCCTCACTTCGCACCTCACGTCCCACTTCGACGCGCACTCCGTCTTGTCCAGCGGCTTGCCCAGCCACGCCTCGCAGGTCTTGGACAAAGACGGGGTGCTCCGTCCCAAGACGGCGGAGCTCAGTTCCCCTACCTGGGGGAGAGGGAGGAAAAAAAAAAAAACGGTCGCGACGATATGGTGATATGTAGGGCGGAGGTGTTGTACGTAGTCGGCGCGATAAATGCGAATGGTTTGTTTTGTGGGCGTGAATTCGAAGAAAGGGGCTAGGACAAGGTTAAGCTGAGTCATGGGTTTTGGACCTCTGGCGTACCTGATTCGGTTGGGGCAGGGTTGGGAGAGATCATGAGAGAGGGAGAGAGGGAGAGGGGAGGGTGGAGTCAGGGAGAGAACCCAAGAGGTTCAGGACAAAACGCTCCTACATCACGAAACGAACGTTAACAGCAACATTGCCAAGACTTCGCAAATGGCATCGACGCTACCACAAACGGACGGGACCAGGCAACTTCCAGCCCATCAACATCATGACACTCTTTTTGAAACTTAGCTCCAAGCATTTTGTTCCGTGTGCAGTGTGCGTGTTTCGTTACAGTTGGCCCGCGACTGCAGCTCCTCTTCTCTCTCCAACCAAACAAGCACACACGAGGACCAAAAATAGAGCTGACGAGTTCCACCACCATCAGCAACAAACCACCACAGCCACCACCACCGCCGCCACCACCACCACCACCACCACCAACAACAACACCGATGACGAAAGCACCACCATCACCAACACCATCACCATCGCCAACACCATGGCAAAGGCCAACACAAACCCCACCTCCAGCAAGGCAGCTATCCGCCGGAACCCCCTCGCGGAGGGGAAGGTCTTGCGCAGGGCGGTCGCGTCGTGGGCGAAGGAGAAGCCAAGCTTGACGATGTGGGGGTCGGTGAGAAGGTCTTCCACAGTGGCATCGAACTGGCGAGAGACTTCAAGGCTCGCCGCGCGGCCCAACAGAGCGATCAGGTCGAACAGGAATACATCCGTGCTGGTGGCCACCTGGGGGGGTTGGGGGGGGGGGGGGGGGGGGGGGGTTTCTTTTTTTTTTTGGTG